TTCTGGCCTCTCTGCTCACCAGATGCCAGTGGCCCTCAGCTGAGAGCCACTGTGAAAAAAAAAGAAGTACTTTTTAAATCACCTTTTGTATGAAAATGTTGCATATTCTTGGTATGCTAGAAATTGTCACTATTTTGAGGAACTCCTACATATACACTATTCCTTAAACAAGAAATTAAGTTTTAACATGTCTGAGCTTATAAGTATCAAGGTATTTAATATTCTGCTTCCTGATGAAAGTAAAAATATCAAAGCTTTAAAATAAAACTGATTCATGAACAAAAACATTAGAAGTTGCATGCCCAAACTAACTATTCTTGCAAATAAATAACAAAAATGACGAATTTTCCTACTGAATTAATTGTTCCTTCATTTTGTATTAAAGAAGCAAAATAAATTACTTTGGTACTCTACTAATCAAATTCATGGTGAAGGGAGAAGGGAATAGATTTTTGAAGGGCTCTCCAGATGTGTAGTAGAGGAAAATGTTTCAAGAGTGTAACAAATAGGTGAGATTGCTTCTATTACTAGATTTTTATCAGGTATAGACCTTAATTTCTGCATTACTTACTGTATAAGAGAAAAGTAGCAATTCTTTATAAGATTTATTATTTCTGGCTTATTTTTATTTCAAAGAATTTTACTAGGAGTCAGCATTTGCTGATAAACCACTTACTGGTCTGTCAACAAAACTGACTTGACTGTGGGGTAGTGTCTTGTGACTGGGAAACTGGTCTTATTTCTATATAGCCTTCTTGTACAAGTAGATGTGCTCTGGAAACTTTCATATAGCCTTATTCCTAATGAAGCTTTGATCCCTTCCATGGAGGTTAGTTACTGAAGAACAAAGACTTCCAGACTCAGCTATGTAGGGTCCACTTTAGCATGGATTTCAAATGGATCTAACAGGTGAGGTGGCAGGAAAATTAGCTTCTGCTTTTTTGGTTTTTTGGTCCTATAGGTAATGTTCCTTCCTTTCTTACTACTTCTAAAACTAAAAGAGAAATAAAAGGACTAACTAGATTAGCTTCTCATATTTTCTTTGCTCAGTCCTTTCTTTTCTATAGTCTAAGGAAAAAAATGTCAGTAAACAGAGGAAGAAGCCAGGGACAGAGAAATGGATTTATTTTTTTTCAGTGCTGTAATATGTAAGTGGAAATGATTTTGTTTGAATTATGTATCATAATAAAGTCACAATCCATGGTCTCGTCACAGAATATGTGAATGTTATGCACATCATCCCAAAATAATGCAGTTAGGACTTTGCTTGTTTAATTTGTTACGACTCAAAATCAGACTCTTGTTCTTGGTTATATTTTTGTATTTAATCATTTTGGTTTTAAAATATTTAACTTGCATTGTTTTTGTGTTTACTGATCCATTTATAATTTATGCAAAATAAAGTAAATATAAATTAATTTGAATTAAGTTTTAAAATAATTCAAAATTACATTTTAAGTAATTTAAAGTAAGTATTAAATAAAATTCCATAACATAAATAATTGTAGGTAACACTTATTTATATTTGATATTTACTATAATACTTTATACACTTAAGATTGAAACATCCTATTACAAAAATTCCTGTTCTAAGAAAATATCAGACTTAATTTTTTTAGTGGACAGATAGGACACTAATGTGGATATTTACATCCTACCTTAAATTGGTACCAAGCTCTGTATTAATAAATAAATATCTTGAACAGTCTTTATAGATGAAAAGGTTGATTGATATTTGCTGATGTTGCTTTTATCATGTTCTCATTTGTGAAGGATAAAATGAGACCTTCTGGCCTACTCTTTGAAAATGGAGTAGTATTTCACAAGGGTTAAATAACTTTCAAGAGATAGCCAGAAAAGGATTCCCCTGCGGTACTAGTAAAGAGCATTAGTAATTAGTAACCTGAGCTGTTTTGAAAGCTAATGTCTAAGTTGTATTCATTTGCTTGTCTTCTTGTAATAATAATCTAGTGCTAGAAGTGCTCATAGATTGTTTGATGCTCCGTAACTCTTCATTTAGATAACTTTCTAGTGACAGCATCTTCCAGTGGTGACAAAATTGTTGTTTCAAGTTGCAAATGTAAACCTGTTCCACTTTTAGAGCTTGGTGAAGGGGTAAGTGATTTTTTTGAAAAACTAAAAAATCTTAGTTCTACTTGGGTGGTAACTACTTAATTATTATGATGTTTGCAGCTAAACATAATGGTGTTTAAAAGCATTATTCTTAACCTAAACTTAAAATAATACAATAACTTAAAAAAAAACTAAGGTACTGAAACATCTTTAAGGTAAAATGATATTGGATCCTACAGGAGCAATCAAGGACTTAGATTTTGTCAACTGGGTACTTGATTTCTTCATTTCCTCTCTGTGGAATGTCCCCTTGTATTGCTGCCTTTTTTAGGACTAAGTTCCATCTAGGTTGCTAGGTTGGCTTGACTATTAGAGCACTAATGATAGCTCTGCTCTTAACTGATGTTGGGTTCAGGACCAACAGCTAAAGACCTCTGTGTGATGGTAGCCTTCTGTTTTAGCTTCTATCTGATATTGAGGAGCCTGCCTGAGCCTCCCCAAGTTCAGGATCAGGATGGCTTTGTCAAAATGAAATTTGGTTCCAGAGCACTTAAATGAAGCTCTCACTGCATATTTTCTTGTTTTTTTTTTAAATGAATTCCTTTAATTCAGGATATTGCTGGCTTTCTCATTTCCAATCACACACACTCTTTGAAAGTCATTTTTAAAAAAATTCCATAGGGACTAAATAGAAATGTACAAGTAGTTGGTAATTTGTTCTCTTAAGTTTCAAAGATTTCCTAGCAGACCTAAATCATGGATTGTCATAATTTTACACAGTGGCATAGATAAGGTAGCCCAATTAGAAAGAACACAGTACAATAGAATATGAGCTCATCTAATTTGAAAAGAACTTTTGCTTTCTATCAGTCCTTCCCTAAAGGTATCCTTTCTTAAAGATATCCAGTGGGATTGATCCAGTCATCAATCTCAGCCTGCAGATGTTGGAGGCTGGGGCAGAGAGAACATCCATCCGCTAAGCAGAAATGGAGTTTGAGGCACTCTGTCTATTTAAATTCAGTTAAATAAACTTGAGGTAGAGAGTGTCCCTCGTTGATAAAAGCCAAACTATACTCTTTAAGAATAGGCAAAACATCTTAGTCATCTTTCAGTCTGTACAAAGGTAGTCAACAAACATGGGTTGAATTAAGTATCAACATCAAAACAATTTGGATTTCCACCTCTGTCACAATATACTTTGCTACTTTTATGCATTATGCCTTAGAACCAGTTTGGGATTTTTTGTTGTTGTTGTTATGAAATAACATGATATTCACAAATGTGACACAATTCTAGAGATTTTTGTGAATATTACACATCAGTTGCTATGGTTTTCTTTCCCACAGTTAAGAAATCACATCAGAATGCAGGTAGATGAAAGTGAGGTCATTATAGTCATAATTTGAATCTGCTTTAATATAATTTGCTTATAAGAACATTTTGCAAGTACTGGTTCTTCAGCCTTTATTAATCTCTTTGAACATATAAGTGTGTTGATAACCATTGCTTTGTAGTATTCAAGTCCTGTTTTCACGTGCCATTTGAGATAATAGACCTTTTCTACTTGGGAAAATAAGATTCTATCCTACTTTAACATTATTTTTTGAGTAGAATTTTAAGTTCCTGTTTATTTTGTTTGAATTTGTATTATACCTCTTTAGGCAAATTGGTACTATCAGTATTAAAATGAATATGGTAGGCTACTATATAACCTAAAAATTTGACCAGCTATTATTTTTAGATTTGAAAATTTCACCCATTGCTTGTATTTTGGGGTACAGGATTCCTGTAATAACCACATACTTTTCATTAATTATTTAAGCTCATTACCTACATTAAAAATATGTTAACATTAAAAAAAGAACTATCATCAAGGTAAACCAGCTATAAATACAGGTTTTCTTCTGAGTCCTTAAGAATAAGTTGTTTTGATGATCAGTTCCTAATATGTTGATCTTTGGTGGACATCAGTCTGGTTTATTTTCTTTAAAGATTATTTAGATAGCTCTTAGCAGACTGTCCTGACTTGCAGTTATAATCATATTCTAAATCTTATTAGTCTTTTTAGACAAAAGTCAGTTCCTAGAAGATGCCTGCAGGAGAATTATAGCAACTGTATTAAAATATTGATGTAATATGCTCCTGGTATTTTATATGCATTAGTAATTTTGACTCTTGGTCAAAATTTCAGAGCTGGGAGGAAAGCTTGGGGGTAGGAGTGGAGACTGTGTGCACCCTTTTAAGAATCTGGTGCTGTCTTGAGCAGAGGATATTTTTAAGATGCATGGTCTCTCAAGGAAAGAACAGTAGATCTAGTTCTCATCTCTTATTTCTCAGATGAGGAATTGTAGGCTCAGAAAGGTGAGATGACTTGGCTAAGCCTACATAGCTTGCCTTTTTAACTGAGTCACAAAATGTGCCCTTTGGAATTCATTTCTCTATTTTTTCCTCATGGCATTCAGCTGGAGGTGAGAATAATTAATGTAACTACATAGTGTATCTGAAGGTTATATAGGAAAATACCATGAAACATACTGACGGCACTACCAGATAGATGACACTCCTAGATACTCATTGAGAGAAAAATCTTGATAACCTCTGTATTTTTAGCCATTTATTTATTCTATAAATATTTGTTGAGCATGGATTTGGTCTTTACTGTAATGAAACTGACATTGCGGTGAGAGACAGACAATAAACTAGTAAACAAGACTACCCAGACAGTGATAAATTGTTATACAGAGAAATAAAAAAAGATCCTGAGATAGCAAGCTGTATTAGGTCTCCTGAAAAGGTGGCATTTAAATTGCTGTCTGTTAACCAGAAGAAGCCATTCAGCCAAGGGTCAGGAATTTAGCGTTCCAGGTAGGAACAGCTGTGTGTAAGCCTTGAGGCAAATATAGGGTTGTTATGTTTAAGGAATGGAAAAAGGTCAGTGTGGCTGAAGAATTAGCAGGGGAAGAGGAAAATGCTGAGCGATATACGAAGAACAGACCAGATGAATAGGGCTTTGAATATTTGAATATTGGCCAGGTTAATTAGTTTGGAGTTTATTCTAGGGCTGATTGGCAGTCATTAAAGACTTTTAACTGGGAGGGACATGATCAGATTTACATTTTTTAAAGGCCACCCTATTTAAGGAGCGTAGAATGTAGGAAAGTAGGAGTGGAAGCAGGGCGTCCAGTTAGGAGGCTGCTGTTGTGGCATGGCAGGGTTTGGGTTAGGGTGCTAGTCGTAGCAATAGGTAAAGGGGGGACCATGTGGCATTATTTTAGTGTTGTAGTTTAGAGAATTTACCTTAGATTGGGGATGGGAATGAGGAATCAAGGGTAATTCTGGACTTTGAGAAACACTGTGTTCTTATAGACTTTGGGAAGAGTTATTAGGTTCTGATGATCTGATGTTTGACTTGGGTTCCTTAGGGAAATATTTGCTATGAGACTTTGGGCAAGTATCTTTTCCTCTTTATAAAACTTTCTCCATCTGTAAACTCCTTTCTACCTTGAGTGTTTTCTGAGCTCTGGGTTGATTCTAACTCAAGATACTCTGTGGGCGTGCATCAAAGGGAGATGCTAAGGGCAAGTAAGCCCTGATGGGAGGCCCAAGGCTTGCTGGTGTCCTCAACTTCCTGTCACCTCTATTCAATGGAAGAGAACAGAAATCTGGTTGATTTCCTTGAAGCTTTTGTGAACTCTACAAGCTGTTGGATCCATGTGGAAGATGATGAGAAGCGAATCTTTAGTATAAGTATTAGCATGTTTATAGCATTTAATTCAACAAATGTTTATCAAGTGCTTCTTAAGTGTTGGATGAAACTTGCAAGTTAGCTCTGGGCACTATTAAAGTAAGGTAACTTTTTTTTTTCTTTAATAGCAAAAGCAGACATGTGTCAGTTTAAATTCCACATCTATGTATTTGGTAAGCGGAGGCCTAAATAACACTGTTAATATTTGGGATTTAAAATCAAAAAGAGTTCATCGATCTTTGAAGGTAAGCAACTTGATTTTTTTGTATTTTATATCCTGTGGAAATGGGTATCTCACAATGAAATGTGTTTAGAGTAGTTACCAAACTTTTTTTAAAATTTTGAGCTTTTATAATAAAAATAAAATGGCTCACAACTGAAGAGTGGTATACGTAAAATAAAGATGCTGTTTAGCCAGAAACTTTTTTTGTCTATTTTTTCCTCGTGTGTCATTAATGCATGTTATTGGTGTTTAAAACATTTTCTACTTAGTTCTACTCTTATTTGAGTGAATCTCGTCCTTCATTTTGTTACCATCAAAGATCTTTTTTAATGGAATTTGAAAAAATATGAATGGTTGTGGGATGACAGTTCTCTATCTGATGAGCAGAGTCAGAGGTTTGGATTAGTTCACTAATATATTTGGCTGCTGCTGTTTGTGTAATTGTTGTGGGTATGTTCATCTTGGTAATGAGATATTTTCTAAGATAATTTATCATTTACAATTAGTATTCTTTAAATAATTAGTTGTCCGCAGTTTCAGAAAATAAAAATACTCATCACATGAAGTCTTTGAGTTACAATGATTTTTTTGGAATTCTGCTTTTTGTTGTTTATCCTTTTAATATTTGGAAGTTCATCTTTAAAGTATTTACAATTTTAATATGTCTTAAAAGTTGTAATATGAAAAATTTTGAACATATTTATATGTATAAACATACACATGTATTAATCATCTGACTTAAATCATGATCAACAATCATCTGACTTAAATCATGATCAACTCATGGCCAACATTGTTTTATCTATGCTCTCACCTGTTCTGATTGTCATATCCTCAAATTATTTTGAAGCAAATAGCAGACATCATTATCATTTATCATCTTGTTATATATTTTAGTGTCATTGAGTTAACTCTTACTAGGGAAATGGTATACAGAAGAATGGTTTACTCTCAGCTAGGTTGAAATACAGTCCTGTAATTACTGTTTAAAATATTGCTGTTGGAAGTTCATTATTTTAGATATTAGCCAAACTTCGAAGAGTCTTAAGGAAAATTGCCAATAGTGAGGATAGTTAATGTGAATGAATTCTTTGATATGCCATCCACTGTGCTTAACATATTTTTATTGTTTATCTCGACAACTCTGCGAAGCAGATAGTGCTATTCCTTTGTACGGATGGAGAAATTGAGACTCAAGAGATGTTGAAGAACTTGTTCGATGTCAAACAACTACTAATGGCAAAGATGCTACACAAGCCTAGATATTATTCATTGTTTAATCTTTTCAATTATGTATTAATTGAATTAAACCTATTTAGAATGATATACCTACCATGAACAGGGAATATTTTATAGAATTGAGATGAGATTAGAACTCCATGTCCAGTTTTGTCACGTATCATCCCACATATTAGGAGCATCACTCACCCGCATCCCATCTTACTGCATGGCAAAATTCCAGTCATGTTTCCACCTTCAGCTTTCCCAATTACTCCACATAGTTTTTTTCTCTTCTCATTGTTTGAAACTGTTAGAGTACTTCATTCCTTCGTTCATTCAATTAACAAGTATTTGACTGACAATGTGATAGTGTGAAATCTAATCTTTCACCTTTGGCTCCCTTCTCTGCAGTGCTCTCCCTGGTAACAACCCAATTTCTGGCACTTGGTAGGTGCTAAGTTTACAAGTTTACTGAATGATTTATTTTCCGAAGTTGAAATATGGAAGACAGGCAACTGTCTTTTTATAGTCATAGAAATTGTATTGGACTCCATGTTCTTAATTTCCCAAATGGAAACTGTGCATTAAATGTCCACTCTTTTTTCTTCTCATCAGACATTTTCTTTCTCAGAATAGTAGTTGTATCTTTGATTTAGAAAAGGAATAAAAATATAAAGACATCTCCAGACATGCTTGAAGGACCATTTGAAAAATTGTTACATAAATGGAATATTATAGCTACTTTTCTTGGTATCACATTAAGTAGTAGATGCAAAGGTTAGTTTGTTTATATTACTGAGATATGACACCCAACTGTTAAAAACTACTCCTAAATGTGATCATTTTTCTACACTCCTAGCTATCTCTTATTTGATGTTGGAAAACATAGTCCTGGCAAACTAATTTTGTTTAAAACCAAACAGTTTTATATCCTCAGAGTGGATCCTGCTTTGGATTTGGGAGATAGCCTAGCATAGTGGGGGAAAAACAGGCTTTAGAATTTGACCTGAAATTAAATCCTGGCCCTACCACTTAGCAGTTATGTGCGCTTGCTCAGGTTTCTGGCCCTTCTTGTGCCTTACTTTGTTAATCTCTAAATCTCTCATCTCTAAAATGGGAAGAATGACCTTGGCTCCCAGGGTTGTTCTAAGGATTAATAACAACATGTAAACCTCCCAGCTTTAGTAGATACTCAGCAAATGGAAGCAACTGATACCGTTTCAAACATGCCCTGTTCATTCTGGCTTTGGGTTTTTTTTTTGCTCTCTTCCATTTTGCAGTGTCCCTAACACCTCTTATCCTTTCTGCAAAGGTTGAACTCAAGCTTTATGTCTTCCATAAAGCTTCCTCCATCAATTCAGTTCACAATGATACCTCTTTCTCTTTCCTCTAGCTTTGCCTCTACCACTCATTCAGCATTTATTCTGCCATTTTATGTTAATTTAAACACCCTGTCCTCTCAATTGAACAGTAATACTCTTAAGAGGAGGGACTCTCATAATAGCCAACCTGCAATAGCTGTTACTTGTCAGTGAAAGTGAATTCCTTAAGATAGACATACTGCCATTGAGACAATTCCTTTTCCTTTTCCCTCTTGTTTCAGAGTGCCTGATCATTGTTATGGTTATGAAAAATTAATCTCTGTTCCCCAAGACAATTTGGTGTTGATCAGATAGTTTCCTACTCATTTAAGTACTTTTTTTAGTTTACTTGAGGAAAATGTTAGAGCAAATATTAAATTGAGATACCTAACACAAAACATGAAATTTACAAAGAAAATGTACTGTTTGAAGGCATTGTACTTATTTTCATTTCTTTCAGGACCATCAAAATGAAGTAACTTGTGTAACATATAATTGGAATGACTGCTACATTGCTTCTGGATCTCTGAGTGGTGAAATTATTCTGCACAGTGTTACAACTAATTTATCTAGTACTCCTTTTGGCCAAGGTAGTAACCAGGTACAGTATGGATTTATACAAAATGAATTGAAAAGATTTTGAATTGTCTTACATAAGAGAGTGAATTTCAAGTTTTTAAAAATCAAGTATTTTAAATTTGCATATAGCTTGCCTAAAAAACTTAGACAGCTAGCTATTTTTTAATGGTAGTGTTTAAAAATGTTCAAATAATACTAAATTATGTTGCGTACATGAGTTCAGTTATGCCTTTGAATAGTCACATGTTCATGGAATAAAACTATATGTAACAAAATACAAGTAGTTCTTAAGCTTAAGCCTGAAACATGGATGTTAGTCTTACTGTGACACTGCAGTTATAGAAGTGTTGCTCGGTTCATGCAGCGTCAGCTTCAGGGACAGGTACTTATGTTCATAGTCTGCTTGGCAAACACAGGGTAACTGAGTGTGTTTAGGCACAGGGTAAACGAAGTATTATTTCCTCTTTTTATTACAGTATTAATACATTCTCTGTGGCAGATCACTTACCCTCATCCATAAAATGCAGAGGGCGTCCTCTGCTGTGTCAGAACTGTTCTATATCTTAATCTTGGTAGTGGTTACACTGGTATATATGCTTATAAAAATTTATCAAGCTGTACACTTGAGGTATATACACATTATATGTAAGTTATATCTCAATTTTTAAAATTAAATATTTTACACCTAATAAGCCTGAGACCAGTAACCAAGTCTAATGTTCTCAGGACTATTCATTCATGCCTGGTTTTAATAAGAAAACTCTCTAGCAAGATACAATAAAAACTGAAATGTAAGAATCTACATAGTAGTATCTGCCCTCATTTTTATATTACTGAAAAGTCAGCCCAGAATTTGTAAAATTAAATCTGTCATGCTTCTACTATGCTAAAAAGCTAAAAAAAAGAAAGAAAGGGGAGGAAGGGAGGGAGAGAAATAAAGAAAATTACTCTATTTCCTTAAAAAGCATGACATTTGAACACTAAGATTTTTTTTGTTCACAGTAGTTATAATATCTGTGGTCTTAGGCTTTATGTCTCTGTTATCAAAATACAAGTAACCAAAAAGAGAACCACAAAAACCATAGTCTTCCAGATTCTGCATGCTTATGTTTCCCTTTTACAGGCAATACAATAGAAATCTTTGAAGTGTTTTTAAATTAATTTTTTTCCTTAAAAACGATTTTGTAATGGCTTATTTTATCCATTGTTAACTAAAGGCATAGAATTACTACTTGAGCCTTCATTAAAAACATTTTTATTAATATTTTCAAAATTTCATTGATGACTTAAATATATTACTTATTTCTTAAATTTAAACAATGTTCATAAAAATTTCAAGTCTGTCAAAAAAAGTGACATAATTCAGTTCAAGTATACTGTTACCCAGCCCACTTTCTGTGTTGATCAATTTTACAATAGATAGGGACTGGGTTTTTGAGAAAATAGTAGGTAGGGCACTTCTAATGGTTAAATTAAAATTTTTCTTTGTTTCTATGAACAATCAAGAATTATAAATCTTTAAAAATTATCAAGTTAATTTCTTAGCTTAAGTGTCAAAATCAAAATCATGGTGTGTCACTGAATCTACATTGTGCTGAATTTCGTATCAGAAATGAGATCACCTGAATATATTTAGAATCTTACTTTGAAGTGTCTGAGCTGAATAAAAGATACTAGTCTTATGTGGGATCACAGTGTCTTTCTGCTGGGAAAAAAGAGCCTTACTGTTTTTGAGGAAGTGGCAGGGCTGACAGACTGTTTAGATTATAATTGCATGTCACTATTTGGCAAGTTCAGCAGCTTAGGCTCACAAATAGGTTTACCTCTGTTGTCTTTCTCAAACTGCAGCTTTTCTCAAAGCAGTTAAAAGTGGATCTGTTTTATTGATTCCTTAGACTTAAAAATGATCTTTAAAAGTAGCAGGCTTTCTGTAAAATTTTAAATTTAATGTATTTCAGTATATATTGCCTAAGTCCATTTTCTTCAGTGAAATTTTGGATATTTTAGGTATAGATTTTTGTAAGCATTAATAAGCTGGTGTGAGTAAAAAGATCTGGTAAATGTAAATAATTATTAATTACATTTTTAAGAATGATTATTTTAACAAGAATGAGTTTAATTCTATTTAGGTTAACTTGGTTGACTGGTTATGGTTATACCTAAATTATAGTACTCACAAAAAGTCTGACTGACTGCAAAGCTTTATATCTAGAGTAGTGGTCTCCTTTATGTCATATAAGAGCATTAATATACAGTGTTTGTATGATAATATGTCCTTAAGTGTCTTGATGTATTTCCTTAGTGTTTGTATATACTTGTCTAGTCTGTATGTTATGTTCCTGAGCAATTTTAGAAATGACATGTTGGCATAAAATAAAGTTCTAATCTGTATCTATATATTACTTCTTAAAGACTAGTTTTTTTCCTTCTATTTTTCTCTTCCAAATTTTCTTTAATGAGAAGTTATTTTAATATTTTCTTGTATAGCTCTGCTACTATGTATAGCTCTGTTTTTCTTCCATACACTTATTCTGTTGGTACAGTCTTATTTTCTGTTTTTTTTCTCATTAGTGTTCTCTCCCAAGAATTCTAATATTACTAGTCTTCATAAACATAATTTTTAATGGCTGCATAATATTCCATTGATCAAATGCCACAGGTTATCTAAGCATTTCTATATTTGGGATATTTTCCAAATTTCTATAATCACAACAAGCAAATATGTCAATATTGTTCCCATAAGTGTATTATCTTCTGCTTTTAATGTTTTCTTTGGGTTTAAAAACTGTCTTTGTGTGTAACTCAACAGCAGGGTCACATTTTCTTTCCTTGAGGAACTCATGTGTGTTACTCTGTCACTGTTGGTCTCAAATGTCTGATGATAATTGTTTTTTTTCATATAAGTCACTTGTTCTTTTTACTTAGATGTCCAAAGGAATTTTTTTTTTTTAAATGAATTGAAAAGATTTTGAATTGTCTTACATAAGAGAGTGAATTTCAAGTTTTTAAAAATCAAGTATTTTAAATTTGCATATAGCTTGCCTAAAAAACTTAGACAGCTAGCTATTTTTTAATGGTAGTGTTTAAAAATGTTCAAATAATACTAAATTATGTTGCGTACATGAGTTCAGTTATGCCTTTGAATAGTCACATGTTCATGGAATAAAACTATATGTAACAAAATACAAGTAGTTCTTAAGCTTAAGCCTGAAACATGGATGTTAGTCTTACTGTGACACTGCAGTTATAGAAGTGTTGCTCGGTTCATGCAGCGTCAGCTTCAGGGACAGGTACTTATGTTCATAGTCTGCTTGGCAAACACAGGGTAACTGAGTGTGTTTAGGCACAGGGTAAACGAAGTATTATTTCCTCTTTTTATTACAGTATTAATACATTCTCTGTGGCAGATCACTTACCCTCATCCATAAAATGCAGAGGGCGTCCTCTGCTGTGTCAGAACTGTTCTATATCTTAATCTTGGTAGTGGTTACACTGGTATATATGCTTATAAAAATTTATCAAGCTGTACACTTGAGGTATATACACATTATATGTAAGTTATATCTCAATTTTTAAAATTAAATATTTTACACCTAATAAGCCTGAGACCAGTAACCAAGTCTAATGTTCTCAGGACTATTCATTCATGCCTGGTTTTAATAAGAAAACTCTCTAGCAAGATACAATAAAAACTGAAATGTAAGAATCTACATAGTAGTATCTGCCCTCATTTTTATATTACTGAAAAGTCAGCCCAGAATTTGTAAAATTAAATCTATCATGCTTCTACTATGCTAAAAAGCTAAAAAAAAGAAAGAAAGGGGAGGAAGGGAGGGAGAGAAATAAAGAAAATTACTCTATTTCCTTAAAAAGCATGACATTTGAACACTAAGATTTTTTTTGTTCACAGTAGTTATAATATCTGTGGTCTTAGGCTTTATGTCTCTGTTATCAAAATACAAGTAACCAAAAAGAGAACCACAAAAACCATAGTCTTCCAGATTCTGCATGCTTATGTTTCCCTTTTACAGGCAATACAATAGAAATCTTTGAAGTGTTTTTAAATTAATTTTTTTCCTTAAAAACGATTTTGTAATGGCTTATTTTATCCATTGTTAACTAAAGGCATAGAATTACTACTTGAGCCTTCATTAAAAACATTTTTATTAATATTTTCAAAATTTCATTGATGACTTAAATATATTACTTATTTCTTAAATTTAAACAATGTTCATAAAAATTTCAAGTCTGTCAAAAAAAGTGACATAATTCAGTTCAAGTATACTGTTACCCAGCCCACTTTCTGTGTTGATCAATTTTACAATAGATAGGGACTGGGTTTTTGAGAAAATAGTAGGTAGGGCACTTCTAATGGTTAAATTAAAATTTTTCTTTGTTTCTATGAACAATCAAGAATTATAAATCTTTAAAAATTATCAAGTTAATTTCTTAGCTTAAGTGTCAAAATCAAAATCATGGTGTGTCACTGAATCTACATTGTGCTGAATTTCGTATCAGAAATGAGATCACCTGAATATATTTAGAATCTTACTTTGAAGTGTCTGAGCTGAATAAAAGATACTAGTCTTATGTGGGATCACAGTGTCTTTCTGCTGGGAAAAAAGAGCCTTACTATTTTTGAGGAAGTGGCAGGGCTGACAGACTGTTTAGATTATAATTGCATGTCACTATTTGGCAAGTTCAGCAGCTTAGGCTCACAAATAGGTTTACCTCTGTTGTCTTTCTCAAACTGCAGCTTTTCTCAAAGCAGTTAAAAGTGGATCTGTTTTATTGATTCCTTAGACTTAAAAATGATCTTTAAAAGTAGCAGGCTTTCTGTAAAATTTTAAATTTAATGTATTTCAGTATATATTGCCTAAGTCCATTTTCTTCAGTGAAATTTTGGATATTTTAGGTATAGATTTTTGTAAGCATTAATAAGCTGGTGTGAGTAAAAAGATCTGGTAAATGTAAATAATTATTAATTACATTTTTTAAGAATGATTATTTTAACAAGAATGAGTTTAATTCTATTTAGGTTAACTTGGTTGACTGGTTATGGTTATACCTAAATTATAGTACTCACAAAAAGTCTGACTGACTGCAAAGCTTTATATCTAGAGTAGTGGTCTCCTTTATGTCATATAAGAGCATTAATATACAGTGTTTGTATGATAATATGTCCTTAAGTGTCTTGATGTATTTCCTTAGTGTTTGTATATACTTGTCTAGTCTGTATGTTATGTTCCTGAGCAATTTTAGAAATGACATGTTGGCATAAAATAAAGTTCTAATCTGTATCTATATATTACTTCTTAAAGACTAGTTTTTTTCCTTCTATTTTTCTCTTCCAAATTTTCTTTAATGAGAAGTTATTTTAATATTTTCTTGTATAGCTCTGCTACTATGTATAGCTCTGTTTTTCTTCCATACACTTATTCTGTTGGTACAGTCTTATTTTCTGTTTTTTTTCTCATTAGTGTTCTCTCCCAAGAATTCTAATATTACTAGTCTTCATAAACATAATTTTTAATGGCTGCATAATATTCCATTGATCAAATGCCACAGGTTATCTAAGCATTTCTATATTTGGGATATTTTCCAAATTTCTATAATCACAACAAGCACATATGTCAATATTGTTCCCATAAGTGTATTATCTTCTGCTTTTAATGTTTTCTTTGGGTTTATAAACTGTCTTTGTGTGTAACTCAACAGCAGGGTCACATTTTCTTTCCTTGAGGAACTCATGTGTGTTACTCTGTCACTGTTGGTCTCAAATGTCTGATGATAATTGTTTTTTTTCATATAAGTCACTTGTTCTTTTTACTTAGATGTCCAAAGGAATTTTTTTTTTTTTAGCATCCAGTAATTTTACTAGGCTATGTCTTGGTATTGGTCATTCTGCACTACTATTCATAGATACATGCTGTGTACCATTTGATATGTGCTTTTAAATCTTTTCTTTTAGGAAAGTTTTCATGAATTATATTTTTTAATATTTGTTATTTTCCTTAATGTTTGTTTTTCTTTGTTGGATCTTCTTCAATGATTTATTACTTTCAAATCATTTTTCACTTTTTCCTTATTTCTTATTTTTAGAAATTCTTTCCTTTTTACCTGTTTTTAAGGTATTATCTATTATATTTATACATTCTTGTATTCCTTTTAAATTAGCTTTCAGTTAGCTGTTAATTGTAGCTATTAATTATTTGACCGACTAGCATGTATTTTGGGGTTCCTGGCAATAACTGATTGTCTAGTTTTGTTGTAAATGTTGTTCATGGGATTTTAGTTTTGCTGTCTGGTTTTCCATCTGTTAAACATACACACACACACACACACACTCTCTCTCTCTCTCTCTCTCTCTCTCTCTCTCTNCTGGATACTCTCTTAGTGATATTTTAAGGAGATGATGATTTAAAAGATGTAGAAAGTTCAGAAGTGAAGGTTGTTTATCTAAGAGACCGAGGGGAGGGATTTAAAGAAATCAGGTGTGGCTACCTCAGGGTCTTTCTGAAAATATGTGTAAAAGATGGTTGAATGGGTATGTAAACAATAATAAATATGAACGAGAGTCTTGAACCTGTAAGAATAGTGGTGACAGCTATTATGTACCTGGCTCTCGGCAGAAATGCTCTTTAATTCTCAGAGTAACTTTAACAGGCAAACAAGAGTGTTTCCTGTATTGTAGATGAGAACACAGAGGCTTGGAGGGTTTGAGAACTTTTCCTAAGTCATACAGAGGTTGGCTGAGCCTCTACTTGAACCCAAATTTATCTGAGAGGAGGATCTATGGTTAGCTTTTCCTTTTTTTCTTTTCCTAATATGTTGCCTTATAGGTCCACAGAATTTGAGGCAATATATGGAATTTAGGTTTTGACTTAATCAAGAAATGCATATTTAACAACTTAAAAAGTTTTATTATATAAAGTAGTGAGGTACTTGTTCCCTTCTATATTCAGATTCTGGATGACTATATTTTAGGATGTTTTAGTGACTTCCTACGGTGGCTAAGAGTTGAGCTTTATAAACTTTGAGAATCTATGAGGGCTGTGATTTTATGGGATTGTTTTTTACGTTCTGCTTGCATATTTAATCCAAATTTAGATTATATGAGGGGCCATAACAGTATGAACTTCTAGAGTGCTACAGAAATCTTTTGAAAATTAATGTTTTGTTTATGTTTTGACAGGTTGATATATGACTATATTTTAAGCATTATAATTCACTAAGGATCTCTATGTCTTTTATATAGTCAAGGGCCATGAAGTTTATTTTTCCTTGGGTGTAGACCAGAGGAAAGATTAGTCTATGCAAATGGATAAAGTTTTCCTCAGCAAAAATGGCAAAACATTTTCTGTTTGTATTTTAGCCATATGAAAATATGGAGGCAAGTTTATTGGATGACCATAATAATTATCTTACCTTAGGTGTCTAGTAAATAATTCTTTTGTTTTCTTAGATGGAATTTTTGTGTTATTCTTAAATATTTTTTGTTTTTGATGCCTAATATATGTTATTTTGAAATGTCTTAGAAGTATGTAGAATATGAATTTTTCATATGTAAAAGCTAGTGGTTTCAAATCCTTTTGGAGTGTGATAGATTAAACTAGGTAGTACAAACAAACAAAAGACTCTCAGAATCAACTTTTGTTCTGTGCCAGTTTTATCTGGGACCTACATGGATAGCTGATACCTGCCTACTGGAACCTGATTCATCACTTGACTAAGACTATAAGTGTTTGAATGTGTCTTAGTTTCCCACTCTTGTAGATCCTATTTAATATTTATTTCTATACCTCTCTTGCTGTTTCTGTGCAGGAAAAAATAGCTTAAATATAAAAAACATAACTCTCAGCATAGTAAAGAAAATACCAATATTAGTTTGAAAGCAACATTTTAGTAAAGGTAGATAAAATTCATCCAGTTTTAATCCAATACCTGTTTACCCAAACTGGGTCTTTGTTTATTCTGATCCAGCAGAAACTAGAAAGCATGAAAGTCTTCACTGCCTCTGGGGATGAGCGCTTAGAGAAAGGCCAGCATTGCCCTTAGGCTGATGCTTTTGAAAGAATGGATATAGTCCATCCCCAGTCTAGAGTGTTGCCAATTCCTCCTTTATGGTTTAGTTAATTTTTTATTATGCTTCAGGTGTTGAATTGCCAGATCAGATTCTCAGGTTCAAACAAATATATCCAAATATCTAAAATATACATAGGGGGAAAAAAAGAAATATTATTGCTTATTCTCTGCTAGTATTCTCTTTACTTACCCTTGATCTGGCTGTGACTGAGCCTTTTATATATGGTGGATGTTCTAATCCTGATGAATAAACAATCTCAAAGTATTATATTTTTCTTCTGAAAAAGAGGAAATTGAGGTAGCTCCAAGATAATAAAATCATGACAAATATTCAGTTCTTAGAATACTGGTATGTCTTGGGGGTTACTTCTTAGCCCACTAAATTATTTTGCATTGTTATGTCTGAAACCTATTACTCTGTATATAGAAGTCCTACATCCCGTATGAATAGTGTGGTTGGTGGTTGACCATTATTTATATAGTTCATGTAGAATGTTCTTATGAATGCTTACAATTATATAAAATTACTCTTCTTTTGTAGTCCGTTCGTCACTTGAAGTACTCCTTATTTAAGAAATCACTACTGGGCAGTGTTTCGGATAACGGAATAGTAACTCTCTGGGATGTGAATAGTCAGAGCCCATACCATAACTTTGACAATACACATAAAGCTCCAGCTTCAGGCATCTGTTTTTCTCCTGTCAATGAGTTGCTGTTTGTAACTATAGGCTTGGATAAAAGAATCATTCTCTATGACACTTCAAGTAAGAAGTAAGTGTGACATGCTCGTTTCTTAATTTAATAACAAGTATTATTATCTCCTTAGCAGACATAGTTATGATTTGTATAGCCCTCTGATTAATGTTTAGGAGACCTAAAGTCTGTGTACGTGATATCTAGTAAGATAGAATTTTCTCTTTTTCTTCCCATGCAGAAAAAAATATCAGATGAGGCATAGATTTTATTTAGAGCACTTCTGGATGATGAATGTTGAGAAATAGCATGTTAATGATTTCATATCTTTATTGTAGCACACATGCGTATTACTCTTTTTCAGAATACAACTAAATATGTATATTTTTAAAGCAATATGATTAATTTGCCTTAAAATTGATTCATTAGAGCAAGGTTTCTAAACTATTAACATTTTTGGCTGGATACTTCTTGGTTTTGGGGGGGCTATTCTAGGCCGTGAAGGGTATTCAGCCTCACTAGATGCAGTAATGCTCACAAATTTACCAAAAGTAGCAAATTTCTTGTAGTTGAGAACCATGATCCAAAGCTAACGGGTCCTTAATCTCTTAAGTGTCTGGGTCCAGTGTGCCTTTTCCCCCTTCTTATAGTTATAGGTTTGCTTGCTGAGCTAAGTAAACACACACAAACAAACAAAAGTTGCAAGAGTGCTACAGGTGTATTCAAAACACCTAACAATATGTAAAGATTGTGTGGAAGGAAATTGTAGTGTTGTTAGTAGGGAAGGACCTTCTATCAGCCCTTGTTAAGTGTAGTGTTACTTACTTCACTTTATTCTTTTAATTTTTCTCTCTTACCTTTTTGAATGAACTTACCAAGGGCCCTAAGAGTCAGTAAGCCATCCTTCTCTTATACCATAGTCCAGCAGAGAGCACAGCTGCAGCAGATAAGTGTCCATATTTCTGTTTTACTTTCATGAGGATCAAGCCACATGGATTCTGATTGCTTTTGGTCAAGAGATGCACAACTAAAGCAAAGTAGCAGCTGCTCCCCTGTGAAAGGTTATAGTCCCCTTGAGGCCTAAGCTAGTCAATAAATGGAAAGGGGATACTGAGAGCCTCCATCTTAACCCTGGGGCTAGAGCCCTTGTTTGTGGATTCTGTCACATTCACTGTCAACATAATAATTGCTCAAAGAAATAGGTGCTGCTTCTATAAAATGTACAATGTAATTATTGGAAGTGAACAGAAAATAGAATGGAATATTCACTAGTTCCTTTACATGCTTTTGTATTAAAAATGTCTTTAATTCTGAATTCCTGCTTTACACAAATATTTGAGATGTGTATTCTGAGTAATCTTGATGGACTTCAGATAACTTTGGTCTTGGGGTATGGTTATTTATGTGTCATAGAAGCTTATATACCTATATATACTCACATTTCTATATATACTTTCTTCTCCTTTCCAAAGACTAGTGAAAACTTTAGTGGCTGACACTCCTCTAACTGCAGTAGATTTCATGCCTGATGGAGCCACTTTGGCTGTTGGATCTTCCCGTGGGAAAATATATCAATATGATTTAAGGATGTTGAAATCACCAGTTAAAACCATCAGTGCTCACAAGACATCTGTGCAATGTATAGCATTTCAGTACTCCACGGCCCTCTCTAAGGTAAGGTATTTTCTTTCTTTTTGGCATTTCTGGTTTTACTAAATAAATCTAGCTCAGAGTATGGAAATTGTATGTTGACAATTAAACACAGTGTAATTTTGCTTGATAATCATTTTTATATAAAAGAATTTTAAATAATTTTAGCACACACCCATTTGGTACTTAGTTAAAAAATCTTTTTCTGGACTTAATTCTCATATTACTCTCCCAAGGTATCTTAAAAGAGTGTTTTGGTTCAGAGGGAAAAACTCTCAAATCTACCATCAAGCTTTAGATTTGTAAGGGAAAACACAATTTTTAACCTAATGGGAGTTGATAAAATACTAGTATATAGTGTGGAGTACTGGAAACCTGAGCTCTTAAAAATTCCATTGCATTTCAGTCAAATTTAAATAAAGGCTCTTCAAATAAGCCCACAGCTGTGAACAAACGAACTGTTAACGTGAGTGCTGCTAGTGGGGGAGTTCAGAATTCTGGAAATGTGAGAGAAGCAGCCACCACTTCCATTGCCACAGTTGTACCACAGCCCGTGACAGCAGCTGTGGGGAAAGGAATAGTTGCTGTTCAAGACAAAGCAGGTAAATGTTGCTTATATATAGTATTTGGAGTTTTAACCCTGCCCTCCCTGCCAAATATATATCATTAGCATTTCTTTAAGAATCTAGAACTCAAATTTTACATCAATATTTAGATTAAATTATTAGTAGATAATGAAAACTGAAGAAGCAAAACTTTTAACTTTAGCTTAATTTTTAAAAAATTAATGAAAGGCAATAACTGAACTTCTGTTGTAAGAAATACTATATTAAAAACAGTAATGCTAACTGAGAAATTATTCATCTTTAACGATGCTATAGACTGTATGACTTACCGTTGTGTCTTTAATCGGTAGAGAATGTGAAACTTTGATGCTGTCACTATGATTTGATATCTGAATTTTAAGAAAAGCTATTAATGGCTCCTTTTATTTAGTATTTTAGAATGGAAAGTAAATCAGTTGATGTAATAAATATATTTAAGTGCTGAATAGTGCCTAGCACATATGAAGCAGTATATCAGTAGTATGTTAAATAAAAATAAATGAAAGTGTTGTAATGTTAAATAATTTTGTCTACTCTCATAATCATGATGAAATGGTTCTTCACAATTCATTTAGACTTTGTGAAGATGATATATAATAAGCTTCCCCATGCTTATTGTAGAAAATATTCTTTACTCACAGTAAAAATAATATTCCCTAAATCCCTGAAAACCTTTTTGTTTTTATTTTAAGAACTTACTCTATACTGTCAACTTGCAACATATTTTTAAAAGTCAGCATGGTATACCAGTATGTTTCCAAAATATCATTAGAAATGGGTATATCCCTGTTGTTTAAAATTTTCAGGACAGGTACATGACTTAGATAAAAATACTTGTTGGTGCCTTCTCAGTATGAGTTTGCTATTTGCAAGTAGAAGCAAAACTTTAATTTGTTAGCCTTTATAATGTGGAATAGCTTTTTACTAATAATAAGTATATTCACTATAAATTTTCTGTGAATATTTACATCATCCTTACATAAAAATCATTATATATTATATAGAAAAATAATTATGTCCTTCGTTAGGAACTCTTGGAAACAAGTACTATTTGTTTCTTCAAAAAGAAAAAATTATTTTTGAAATATAACTTTGAGAAATGTTTAGGCTAAGACATTGGATTAACTGTTATAAAAATTGTCATTATGTTCAGAGATTATTATATTAATTTTATTAATAATTTTAAAAAATTAAATGAAATAAGAATTCTCTTCATTTACTGTAAACTTTCTGAAGTCTTACTGTTATTCAGCTAGCTTTTAATAAGGAAGCTCTTGTTAACAGTGACAGTGTTAATTGAAAATGGAAGACTAGGGTCTGCAGGGTCACTGATAACTCTTGGCTGATCTTGACTGATTAGCAAAGTTTCTGGCAAAATGCTTGCTCTGTATGCACAAATACAAATTTTTGTTTATTTTATTTTGAAGTAATTGAAAACTTACAGAAAAGTTAAGGTTGCAAAGACCTCAAGCTCTAGTATATCCTTTAGAAGATTTACTATTTTGTAAATTTTCCACATTTGCTTCATCATTTTCTCTCTTTGAAATACACACTCTCTCTCTCTCTCTCTTTCTCTGCTTTGAAACATTGAGAAACATTAGGCTTAATCCCAGGATTTTTATTCCTACCAGGATGACTTTGTTCGGTCTTCTTCACCACTCTATCTCATTTTTCTCTTCCACAGATAAATATTTAACTTTTATAGTTATTGTGAAGAACAGAGAAAATGTATTAAATGTGCCTTGTACACAGTAGGCACTCAGTAAATTATGCTGTTATTAATATTGTTGTTACTGTCATCATCTTTACTGTTACTATTATTTTAAGCTTCATGTAAAATAAATCTAAAGTTGAAAAAATTTCATGTTGCTCTTGCTGAAGGGTTCTTGATTAAGTTATTGAAAAGAACCTCTGCAGTCTTGTTTCTAGTGCTAATTTTCAGTAGGAAACAGCCATCTAGGACATGAAAAATCAGGCTTTAGCACTCTTTTCAAATGATACTAAACTTATGTTACCTAAAGTTCCAGAGGCTAGATTTATACCTGCAAACATCTTAAGGGCCTTAGAAAAAGAAGAGAAGATTTCTTCTTTAAAACAGTTTAACTCTTGGTGTAAACATTCTTTAATGATGGTGATACACAATTGTTTAATTGTACTTTAACTTTCTATCAGGTGTTACTAGAAAAATTTGTTTCATTATCTAGGCCTGGATATTTTTGGTTATATAGGCTGTTCTTTGTTTTTAATCCTAGGCTTTTTGATTTTAATTTGGGACCAAGATGGCAAATAAAACACTTTATTTAAAATATATTATATATTATAAATACATTCATTTATTTTAAAATGTAATACATTAATATGCTACCAACTCAAATGCAAGAATTTCGTCAAAACTGTTGAATCTCTAAAATTCAATCCTTAACCCAAAAATGAGCCTGCCCATTTCCTTTTAAAATTCCCTGCCCTAAAGCCATGTATTATGTACTGACGGAAAAATAAACTGCTGCATTCCTTCTTTTTGTTGTCTACTATACTGTTCTTCATAAGTTTAGTATTCTGGTTTCTGTCCTCTTAGTAAACTATTGGGAGGTTAGTGAAGTCATTTGAGGTCGGTAATGCTGACAGCAAAGTTAAGCTTCCACTGTTAGTGAAGGCAAGGACAGAAGTGGGAGAAAAGAAATCCATTTACTTCAAATTGGGAAAGGAACTAACATTATTTGAACACTTCTGTATATTAGGCATTGTGCTATACCTTACAGACCTTTTAAAAATCATTTGTTGTTGATAAGAGTGAGTCAGTATAAAAAGTAAGTTGTGTTCACTATACTTTAAGAGGAAAGCAAAGTATACAAATTATTTTAGAAAAATTCCATGAAAATAGCTAAAATAAGGTAGTATTATATGAATAAATGTTATTTGCTGTTGAGGAGGCCTTCATCCCATGAAAATGATGGTTAACTGAGCTATTATATTCTGCTTTCTTTTCCTGATGTTCACAGTTGTAGTATGAATAATATGAATAATGCATTCATTTTTAGAACTTATCTTCTGATGGTAAGTTATTTAGATGTAATAACACTTATTTTTATATCTAATTCCTGTAAGGTTTGCCTCGAAGCATAAACACAGATGTTTTATCTAAAGAAACAGACAGTGGAAAAAAACAGGATTTCTTCAGCTTTGATGATACTGGAAAGAGTAGTTTAGGTGACATGTTCTCACCTATCAGAGATGGTAAGTGTTCAGATTAGAGGATCATGTTCTCTTGCTGGGAGTCATTAACTTTTTTTTTTTCTCGCTGAAAGGTGCAGCTAATAGCTTTAGTCTAACTCTATTCATGACAGTTTGCTAATTTTCTCATGCCTGGGGTGGTATCTTTTCCTTTGCCCTGCTATTTCAAATGTTAGTTACCATTCCAAAATATATGCTGGTAATTTGTACATGGGATTTAAGCAAATAGCTCTCAAGTTAGCATTTTAATTTCCACAGACATTTCTTAAAGGAAGTTTTGCCTCTATAAGCAATCTTTTACTTGTATCTACTTCTAAATAAATCTTCCTAAAATCTTGGGTATTTTTATATCCAAGATAGGCAAAACTATCTTACTTAAAAAAAAAGATAGGCAAAACTATCTTACTTATCTTTGATCATTAGTATTTAATTTGTATTTATTAAATTATTTCATGGAGAAATACAGCTAGGTAATGGATTGCCTCATCTTTTATGCTATGTGTGAAACTACATGCACACACACCATTTTAAGTAAATGTTGCCATTAAAAAGAAAAAAAAAAAAAAATTTGTATCTTTGATCATTAGTATTTAATTTGTATTTATTAAATTATTTCATGGAGAAATACAGCTAGGTAATGGATTGCCTCATCTTTTATGCTATGTGTGAAACTACATGCACACACACCATTTTAAGTAAATGTTGCCATTAAAAAGAAAAAAAAAAACACAAAAAACTTGGCCAGCTTGATAAATGGAAACATTATATTGCATATCATTGTTGTTCACAGTATATGAACTAGGCACGTCATTTGGCTTTGTTTCCTTAATAGGGTAGTCTCACTGCTAACTGCAGTATCATCAACAATATGGGTAAATTTCTAGAGGGTAATTTGGCAGACTTAAATATTCATACTTTTTGGCCTGTTAATTCCATTTTTATAAATTTACCTAAGAAAATATTCAGAGAAGCCCACAGAGATTTGAATGTTTACTGTTTATTTGTAATAGTGAAAAACTGGAGTGAATCTAAATGTCAACAATAGCAGGATGTTTAAATTGTTGAATCTACTCATTGTCTTATTAAATTTCATTTTTCTACTTGAAAATGATCTCTTGTCCAAATTTCTACAGTTAATTTTGTAATCAGAAAGAATAAATACCTATATGATGGTACAGAATTATTGAGTATCCTCTGCCTTACTCCAGCCTGAAAATGACTTCTTAAATTGCCAGGTCAAATTCCCCTATTTCCATCTAATCAAAGAGGAAGGATTCCTTTCTTTAAAGATGCAAAGAGGTCAGACTACATAGTTAAAGAGTAAGGGGGGAAAAATGTGGGCAAAGAAGGAAAAGTGGCTGGGCCACGGTTGAGATAGGTTTGTGAGGTTAATTGGGGTACTTGGTTTATGAGAACCCCTGGAATAAATTGAAGAATGTAGGAAGGGGCCATTTGAAGTGTTTGAGTTATAAATGAAATCCTCTTTAATGATTTTTAAGGAAAATGAATATTCCCCTTTAATTACTTTTGCTATTTTTTAAAAATATGATTAGAATTTGAGCCATATGCCCTTGATTTATTTAAGTTTCATATTATTAATAAGAAAAAAAAATGCTAAATATAGTGCTGATTTTCATTGTCACAAGATTTGTGTTTTAATCCCAAGGATGCAACTCTACTTAGTTAAAAGGTTTAATCTCCTTGTGCCTCAATTCCTTCATCTTTTAAATACTAATGCTTCAGTTTTTGTTAAGAGAAAACTAATATCTTCTGAAATACATGTGTGTTGTGCAGTTACTAGGTATATATACATGTAAGCACATGGATGGATGTGTGATGGGAGTCCTACTAATATGGCATCATATATGACAATTTACTGTCCATTTGAATTTCTTCTGAATATTTATGACTTGCCCATTTTTGTATTAATCCTATAAAATGGAGTTAGATTATTTTTGGTTGTTAATTGGTAAATGAATAATTATACAGTATTGAAATATTCTTATACATATTTTACCATTGAAATAAATATTAATAAAACTTTACATTTTTTATAACATTTTATTGCTTGTGAAATACTTTAATATCATTTCAGTTGATCATCAAAACAATCTTAGGAGATGATGAGGGCATTATCTCCATTGTATAAATGCAGAAACTGAAGCTTAATTGTATTAAAGGCTTGTCCAAGGTCTTAAAGCTGTTAAGTGGTGTAGGCAGAACAGGATTTCAGATCTTTAGAATCTGCTCCAGTGCTTCGCCATCTCATTAAATGACTCTATATCGTGGAATTATCTTTTCATACCTACTGCTATGCACATGACGTTTAAAGATTGAAAAGGCGAGTTTGTGTGGGTACTAGCTTTAACTTCACTCAGATTTTCCTTCTTAAAATTGTTAGTCTCTGAACTTGTTGGGGAATGAATAGGAAGTCTGAGTTGCTATGGCGTCTTTTTCACAGTTTTTTTAATTGGACTTTCTAATTTTATTATAGATGCTGTAGTTAACAAGGGAGGCGATGAGTCCATAGGCAAAGGAAATGGTAAGAACTATTGAGAAGTATTTTTATGAAAGAGTTAAAAGTGATACTGTATTATCTGTTGCTGTGTAACAAATTACCCCAACATTTTGAAGCTTAAAAGAACAAACACTTATCACCTTCTAATTGTGGGTTAAGAATCCAAGCATGGCTTAGCTGGGAGTCTTTGGCTCCATGTCTCTCCTCAAGCTTCAATCACTATGTCCACAGGGCTGCCATCATCTCAGAGCTTTCCTAGGCAAGGATCTGCTTCCAAGCTCACTTGTGTGGCTATTGGCCAAAGGTCTCAGCTCTTTCCCTTGTGGACCTCTTCACAGGGCAGGTGACAATATGGCACCTGTCTTCCCTCAGGGCTGTTGAATAAGAGTGAAAGAAGGCACTCAAGATGGACCACAGCATGTGTGTAACCTAATCTTGGAAGTGACATCCCACCACTTTGACTATATTCTCTTTGTTAGAAGGAAGCTATTAGATCCAGTTCACATGCTAAGGGAGAGCATTACCCGAGGACATGGATCCAGGCCAGAAGGAGCCATCTTAGAGGCTGCTTGTCAAGATATACCACAGACACAGACCAAATTAACATTTCTCAGTTTGATATTGACTAAAATGTCCATTGGGTTTTGCAGTTTTCAAAGTATTTTTACCTATAATACCTCTTTTAAGTCTCACTACTCAGGAAGGTGGGTATCATCATTCACATATATAAAGATCAAGAAACAGTCATAGAGTTTTATTTTTGCCCAGGAATACATATCGAGTAAGGGGTAGAGCCAGCAAATGAACCTGTCTTCTAAATCTAAATGTGATGGCTTTCTACCACATTAACTTATTGTGTAAAGTGCTTTTCTTAAATATTCAAGATTGGGAACATTTGCATATGCAGTATTTTTCTCTTCATTTTCAGGCCTTGACTTTCTACCACAATTGAACTCAGTGTTGCCTCCAAGAAAAAATCCAGTAGCTTCAAGCACTTCAGTATTACATTCTAGTCCTCTTAATGTCTTCATGGGATCTCCAGGGAAGGAAGAAAATCAAAATCATGATCTGACAGCTGAATCTAAGAAAATGTATCTGGGAAAACAGGAACCTAAAGACTCTTTCAAGCAGGTATCTTTCTGCCTGAAAAATGATACTGAACTCACTGTGTGTTTATCACTAGGAAGCATAATGAAGCCCATCACTAGGAAACAGGCAGCTTGCAGTGGATATGTCCTAGTTATTGACAGAGCTGATAGTTACTAGGTAGAAAAATATTCTTAAATCTTGATGTCACATCTTAAAAACTACATCATACTTTTGAAGTCTGTCTTTGGATATGTCGGAGGTAACAGAAGATGTTATACTGTTTTTTTCTAAGACAAGATACTTGTCTCAACTGTCTGTGTAAGAATATTTTGTACCTCAGCTCTTTGAGAATGTACTTCTGTTGTGCCAGAAAACACCAACTTGGTGGTCGAGTCATTTATCTTAAGTCAGTGGTGCTAAGAATGTGATTCATCATCACTACCTTCTGTTATAATACAGTATCCAAGAGAGAAATTAATTTGTTATGTAAGTTTAAAATGATCGTATAATACTAGGAAGACTGAGTCTGTTGTACAGTATGTCTGTTAATTAAAAAAAATTTTAATGATATTGGAAAGATATTTTAGACGTACAAAAATGTCTTTTGATGTATTTTTCAAGTATTTGAGTAGTTACCACATGGGAGTTTGAGGGTTTTTTTTTTTAACCTGTGATTACCATTTTAAATGATATTCAATAGCAGATGCTCACTAAATGAGCTTTTCCTCATCACGTTATCACTGAAATTGTTTTTGATTGGAAACTTGATTTATTTTGCCATAGTCCCAGCAATTTCTTTTCCCTTCTATATCTATTCCTATTCTTCATTTCCCTGACTGTATGTATTGGAAAAAAGAGAAAAATAGGTACAAATTATATGGATAATACAAGTGAAACCAGAATTTATGTATTAATTGTTTATTTTAAACATAAAGTTTGCAAAGTTGATATCCGGTGCTGAAACTGGAAATCTAAGTACCTCTTCATCATCTAACCAAACAAGAAGTCCTGAGAAGTTTGAAAAGCCAGAGAAAGAACCTGAAGCCCAGTTACTGTATGAACCCCCAGTCAATGGATCCTCAACTCCAAGTAAGTACATGAAACTTCCTGATGTGTGAAAGTGTTAAGTTGAAAACTCCCACTACTTAACTTGAAAAGGATAAATAAATAGAGTGATCATAGACTAAAAAAGTTCAAGGAGTTTGGAATTTATGGCACTTCCTGGTGTGGCTATCTTACTAGAACACAATTGAATGTATATGAATGGTTAAATTCATCCACGTTGTTTTGATACTCTTTTGGTGTGAATATCATTTTCAATCTGATATGTAAACATCTTGATCTAATACAGTACATACAGGAATGTAGTGTAGGATCCTTTTAAAATGGGTCACTATCTACCTGGAGTTTTGTCCCCTGCCCATGTTAAAGTCTATCTGTAGAGTCATGCCACAGATCCGAAAAACTTGAACATATTTAAAGGGATATTAGGTTCAGCTATGAGAGTTATCTTTATCTTTGTATAGAAGCAAGGCTTTTACTCAGATATCTGTACTTCAAGGTTTCTGTGGATATATATTGCATTAGCTTAAACTCTAGGGCTTTGCCTGTAGCACTACTTTACTGCTATATTCCTTTTGTTTATTTTTAATAGTCTTGGTTTATCTAGTTTGTGGTGCAGCTTGTCACATTCATCTTTTATAAGAGGAGATGGTTCAGAGATTCTTCAAGATTAATCCCTCTGTCATAGGTTATTACATTAGACAGTTGGCAGTTTATATATATAGATGAATGAACATTAGAAATAATGTCATGGAAAGTTTCTAAGATTTGTATTCCAGACAGTGAATTTTTCTAAATGTCACAGAAACACTGTTCTTTACCAGTTTTCAAGTTTCCTCATGCCAAATCTTATTTAGAAATGTTTGATGTCTCTTAGTCCAAGTTGACTATTAATATTTTCTCCATTTTTTATTTCAGATCCAAAGATAGCATCCTGTGTCACTGCTGAAGTTGCTAGTTCACTATCAGAAAAAATAGTTGATACCATCGGAAATAATCGGCCAAATGCACCATTGACATCTGTTCAAATCCATTTTATTCAGAACATGATACAGGAAACATTGGATGACTTTAGGTAGTAATTGAAAAATTACTCTTTCTACCTAGACTTTAACTGCATTTTTTTATTAGGTGTAATACCAGAACTCCAAGTAATACTGTCGTTGCTACTTATGCCTAGGTTCTGGGCTCCATAAAACCATAGAAAACATGATGAGCTTTTATTGTTCTAGCTGTACTGAACTTATTGGTTATCAGCTAGGAAAAGGCACATTTCCTGAGGGCAATTACTAGATAACTTGGCAGGACAGCCTAGCAGGTGGGCTTGCCATTGTGGACTTTTTTAATCACCAAAATGTGGACAAATTCTGATAAGCTTGAATGGGATTCTTATATGTACAGTATTTATAGATCACCTGTTAAATATGGTGTGGGCAGTAATGTGTAAAGAAAGATTTTTTTTAAAGAAATTCAGAATATTTTCAGGTAGGAAACATCAGAACGCAATACTGAATTTTAAAAAATTCTTGCCTAGATCTATACTTGTCTTCTCATCCTTTGAGTTTTGAACACTGTAAGAATTGTATTTTAGAGTGCTGCTTCCATTAACTTACCATCTCAATATATTTTGGAAGCTATTTTCAATTATTAAAATTATCTGTTTTTTTCTCTTTTTTGTCTATTCTGATCAATAGTTCGTATTCTATCTCAGATTTGGATTATCATGAGCAGGAATGTTGAAGGAGGTGTGCATTTTTTTGTTGGTGCATGTGTCTTTTTAATGCTAAAATTGTTTGAAAATATATTTTTAAATGTTAATACACTATAAAAAAATCATCATTTGAACATTTACAGTATGCCTAGTCTATTTGCCAGATATTAAGGCTACAAAGGTGAGTGTTCTGCCTACACAGGCCTCAGAGTTTAGTTGGGATAGGCACAGTATGTCCTGCCATGATGTGTGTTTCTTTAATGTGAATTAATTCATTTGAGCTTGGGGAATAGAGCAGTGGTGATGATAGGATGAAGAAATATTGTTGGTTCATGTAACAGCAGCCAAAACAAAGTACATGAACACAGCTGAAGGCTGCAAACCACCTATCAGTGTCCATCTCCTCCTGTTCCCTTCCTCTTAACTTTGTTTGGCTCAATGTGCTTTGTGTTAGGAAGTACTTATTTTGTGATTTATTCCTCATCTTTGGGCATTATTTCCCTGCCTCTCTGCCTGATAGCCTCAATCCTTGTATTTTTCTTAGCCCTTTTATCAAGTGACCATCACTTCTTAAAGGCACAGTTTAACATTCCTAAAAAAACTTCATATTCATTAAAACTGTGTGTTGAAAATAACAGGACCAGATTTTAAAATGTGGCTTATGCATATAATGGAATACTATTCAGCATTAAAGAAGAAAATCTTATAATATGCAACACTGTGGATGAACATGGAGGATATAATGCTAAGGGATAAGCCAGTCATAGAAAAACAAATACTGCAAGGTTCCACTTACGTGAAATATCCAAAATAGCCAAACCCATGGAAGCAAAGAGCAGAATTAGAAGTGTTAGAGGTTAAGGAAAAGGGGAAACAGGGAGTTGCTAATCAAAGAGTATAACATTTCGTTGTACAGAAGGAGTAAGTTCGAGAGATCTGCTGTACAACATTGTGCCTGTAGTTAACAATACTTTATTGTATATATAAGCCTACTAAGAGAGCAGATTTCATGGTGTGTTCTTACCACAATACAAAGAAAAAATAAAATAATGGGACTTAAGGAAAAAGGATTGGGGCAGACCACTCACAATATGCAGCTTTGTAACCAGAGCACTAGCAAAAACAAATCCTAATAAAACTACTAGCATAGTTTAAATAGTGAAAAATCAAAGACTTCTTGCAAAGAGGCAAATGTAGGGTTTACCTGGTCAACTTCCCTTCTTTGTTAGGACCATGACTCATCAGATCCTGGCTGCATTACTAGTTCTCTGATGCCTTCAGTTTGTTTGTTTTAATATAGTTTTTGCATTTATTGAAAGCAGAAGAGGACATTGGAAAAAAGATACCCTTATGGTTGTAACAGAGTAAATAAAGTACTTAGGAATAAATCTAACCAAAGATAAAGATCTTTATAGAAAATAGTTATTTAAAATTTATTAGAAAGCATTAACATTTAAGTAAATGGAAAGAAATGATAAAGATGTTAGTTCTTCTAAATTGGTCTATGGATTGAATGCAATTCCAATCAAATTCCAGCTGGTTTTTTGGAAAAACATGATGGGATAATTCTAAAATGTGTATGAAAAAAGCAAAGAGTGGAAATAACCACAACACTCTAGAGAAGAATAAGGTTGAAAGAAACTTGTTTGTCCAATGATGAGCTTGATTATTAAGCTATAAGTAAAATAATGTAGCATTAGCCCAGGATGGACATACTGCTCAAAAGAATCAAACAGACCAGGAAGAAACCTATGCATATATGGAAATGTGGTATATGACAGAGAAAAAGTATAGATCTCTATACCATGCTATTAAATCAGTTCCATTCAGAGTAAAAGTTCAAATGTAAAGGGCAAAATTTAGGCACTGTAAGAGAATTTATATATGACTTCAGGGTAGGGATGTTAATAAAAAATAAAATACACTACCTATAAAAGCAGATTGGTAAATTTGACTGCATTGTTAATAAATTTGAGAATTAATATGAGCTGTTCATCACAAGACATAACAAAGTGAAAGGAAAAAATCTGCAGTACTCAGAACCAATAAAGGATCAGATTATGTAAAAGAACTCTTATAAAGAAAGAAGGAAAGAAAGAAAGAAAAAAGACATTCAATAAAAAAATGATTAAAAGACATGGACAAGCATTTCACAGAAGAAGAATGATATGTGAATATAATGAAAGATTCTCAATCCTGTAATTAATCAGAGAACTGATAATACAAGGGGATACTATTCACACCATTAGAAGGGAAAATACTGTAAAAAGTCTGGCAGCACCAACTCTTGGTGTGAATGGAGAGCAGTAGGAACTCTGCTCTACTGATGATGTGCATGTCCTTTGATTCTACCACCTTGGAAAATAATTTGCATTATTTTGTAAATTTGAGCAATATACATCTGGACTATATCTGTAACTACTCTTGGATAAAACAGGCCCTAACACATATCATCTGTAGAAATTGTCATATGTGGGTTGGGAGATACATACATGTTGTTTATAACAACATTATAATAGTAAAAACTTGAAAACAATCCAAATGTCAGTTGACAGGAGAATGTATATATGAGTCTAAATCAATGGATTAACCAATCTACAGAACATGGATCTTGGAAATATGATACTGGATTATTTTAAAAATATACCCTACACAAGAATTCATAGGATATGGTACCCTTTTTGTAATGCTCAAAACCAAGCACATTGAAAATATATTGACTACAAATTGAGAGTAGTGACTTCTTTCTTGGACTTTTCCCAAGAGTTAAGTGATAGAATCTGAGAGGAGCACACAGGAAGCTTCTGTGATGTTGGCAATGTTCTAGCTCATCAGTCTTGTGGTGGTGACTGAGTGTTCCTTTTATTATCATACTTCGTAATTTTCATATATTCTTTTATAAGTGTAAATCAAATGCATTTTATTGAGTAGCCTCTGTTATTACCACCCAAATAGCCCCTTTCCATTCTATTGTAAGTATTTTTTTAAAGCTAAAACATTGATAATAGTTAAAATACTGTTACCTAGTGAATAATCTGTATTTCATTGTAATAATCTATATTTTCATTATAATAAAGTATCTTCACTTCATGAAAGTTTCTATATTAAGGAATGTAGTGTATGAGAGTTCTGGAGGTATACAGATTTGGTTTATATCCTAACACCACCATTTACTGGTTGTGGGACTTTGGACAAGTTATAATTGTTTTCTGGCTCAGTTAACTTCATTGATAAAATGGAGGTAATAATTGTACCTAGTTGTGAAGAAGATCCTTACATTTAAAGTATAAGACACAGTCCCTAACACATAGGAAATAAATGCTAGGTACATTGGTTTTTTTATTATTGTAATATTAACTGTTAATATCCAATGATTTGAAGAAATGAGAAAAGTTTTGCCAGTTTCTTGAATAATCTAGAATTGGTAAAATTATTATAATTCTAACAAGTATTTTACCTTCTTCCCTAGAGAAGCATGCCATAGGGACATTGTGAACTTGCAAGTGGAGATGATTAAACAGTTTCATATGCAGTTGGTATGTGTGATATATTTTATTTTAAATTAGTATAGAGTTATAGATCTAAAAAGTCCATTAAAGGGTGATATATTTTTACTTAGTTATATCTAGTTGCTAAGGTTAAATAAATAGGGTGTTTTAGAAATTTAATAAGAAAAATAGATTTTAACAAGTCACTCTTCTTTTCAACCTATGATAGTTAAGGCTATTTATTTGTAATTTTTTTTCCCAGTAAGTAAGCAAAAAGCTTCCCAAATGTGCAAATACAAGCTTTCCAAATATATAAATTTCACCAGTGATCATTCATTTATATTAACAAAATAGTAAGGGTGGCTAAGTATAAGAAATAACATTTAGCTACTTAACTGAACATGAGAGAAATGATAGCTAAAATTATGTAAAACAGCTTGCCAAGTAAATGAAATACCAATAATTTAAAAAGCATTTTTACCCTTTTCTAGAATGAAATGCACTCTCTGCTGGAAAGGTATTCAGTGAATGAAGGTTTAGTGGCTGAAATTGAAAGACTACGAGAAGAAAACAAAAGACTACGGGCCCACTTTTGAAATTTCAGTGAATACCTTAATGTTTGTAATTTGGGAAGCCTTTGGCAACACAGAACTACATGCAATCAGTATTGTTTTCATGGTCTCTGGGGAAATTTTTTTTTTCCAAGTAAGGGTGACTGGATTTTACACCAACCACTATTTCATTTTCTCTGTCAAAAATATTTATATTTTTATATTAAAAACTGTACATGTCATCTGCCTAATAGGAAAGTCAACAGGATCTTTATTTTCTGAAAGCTCTAGCTATACACTAAGTATATTTTCATAAAAAAGTTGTGCAAAAAAAGGTTATGTGTTTTTTATCACCTTTTTTTAACAATGTATTTGACAATGGCCTTCCAAAATTTTTTGGATTTTTGAGGATTAAAGAGTTTGATATGACTTCTATTTTTATGGAAAGTAATTTTAAAATGGCAGTTGTTGTTCTAAGTAATTAATTAATAAAACAAGGTTGGTTAGTAATTATTTTGTTAACTTGATGAAGTTAAGTATTGTACATTTGATAAGAAAATATTTGAAGTTTTGAATTGCATGGATTACATTATATCTATTGCATTTATGTTACTGTATGTTCTTCTGACAAATCTCTACTGGTTGGTATTCTTTTAGCTAACTTCACTTTACCTATGAAAGCTTTTAAGGGTTTATAAACAAGACTCAACCAGAACTGCATATCTGCTGATTATCCCATGAATTAATAATGTGCAAAAGTATACTGTCAAATTTCAGTCAACATGATTCAACTTAAAATCATTGAAAAGTTCATATTAGATACTAAATATTACATTATTAGTCCATTTTTTCCTCCCAAATAAGTGTGGATTTATTTAGTTTTGTGGTTTATATCATTAACTTTCTAATTCTTTGTGTACTGTGTATATTTTTATATATTATTGACCTTATCGTAAAACTTAGAAAGATTGTCAAAGGAATTTACACCTCTTTGTCAGTAGTGGAGATGCACATCTGCCTGCTGTGACCTTCGGTTTTAGTGGTATAAGATTAGGAGGGTTACTGGCTTGTTTACCTTCTTGTAGTATCTGTCCCAAAGATTTAAACTATGTACCTTGTATATAGTACTCCTGCCCAATTTGACTTCTGAGATGAAAATATTTACTAAAATAAATATATAGCTAGCTTACTAACTTTATGTTTTCCAAAGTGATTGAAATATTTAAGGATATTACTAATGGGTATAACATACCAGTAATTACTTAAAGAAATAAAAACAAAGATTACTTTTTCCCAGTGTGGTTATGAGAATACCTTTGTACTGAAGCATAAGGGGGTGTTAATGTGATTTTTTTCCTGATTATTAAAGCATTATGACTTGTAACAAGTTCCTTGCATATCATTATCAAACAGGTTTAAAAAATATTAAAGTGTTTTGCCTACATGGTGTATTTAAATCATTAATATTTTCCTGTTGTTTTTTTCTCTAAATGCACATCATGTTTATTAAAAGAGGTAGGATAAAGTAAACAATTTTAGTAAGTTTATGTGTATATTTGAAACATTTTTATCATGGAATTTAAAAGCTAAATAATTGTGAAAAACAGATTGAGGTAAATTTGGGAAACCTGAAATTGAACTTTTGCCTCTGGTCAATATAGAATAATAGGAATTGGACTACCCATCTGAAATTTTTAAAAAATACAGTGTATGTCAAACTGTTTTCAAATATTGGATATAAGGCAATACAGGACAGTGTTCCCAAGAGAGGGAAACAAATGAAACCCAAGAAATTCAGTGAACACCAAGAATAAGAAATAATAAAACTACACCAAAGCACATTATAATTAAATTCCTTAAAACCAGTGAGAAAGGGAAAATTTTTAAGGCAGCTAATGTCAAAAGACACAGGCACAAAGATAAGAGTGTCAGAGACAGTGGATCATAGTACTTTAAGGCAGCTAATGTTAAAAGACACAGGCACAAAGATAAGAGTGTCAGAGACAGTGGATCATAGTACTTTAAAGTATTGGAAGAAAAAACTCAACTTGTAATTCTATACCCAGCAAAAATATCTTTCAAAAAGGAAATGAAACAAAAACTCTTTCAGACCTAGAAAGGCTGAAATAATTCATCACAAGCAGATTTGTCCTGCAAGGAATCCTAAAGAATGACTTTAGTCAGAAGGAAAATGGTACCATATAGAAATCTGCTTCTATGCAAAAGAAGAAAGAACATTAGAAATGGTAAATACGTGAACAAATCTAAGACTTATTTTAAATTATCTTAATAAAAGATAACGGACCATTTAAAGCAAAAGTAATGACAAGGTATTGTGTGGTTAACATGTAAACTGTGATGTCTGACATTATCAAGGATGGAAGGAGGGAAATGAAAGTATACTATTCTAAGGTTTTTATGCAACTGTAAAGCAGTATACTGTCATCTGAAAGCAGACTCTGATAAGAATGTGTACTGTAAACGCTGAAGCAACCACGAAAAGGAAAAATAGTTTTAACTAATAAGCCAACAAAGGTGATAAAATTTACTCATAGAAAATGGAAGGAAAAGAAGAAGGGGAACAAAGAATAAGTGGGACAAATAGTAAACAGGTGGTAGATTTAAACAGCATTATCAATAATTAAGCGTAAGTTGTTAGTTACCATTATTATCAAATTGAATCATTTTACGCAGCTATATACTGAGTACATAAATCACTTTAAATGACTCAAATAGTTTAAAAAGGAAAAAAAACCTAGTATATTGAACTGACTGCAAATGAAACATTACCAAAATTTGTGGAAATCTGTTAAAGCAGTACTTAAAAGGCTCAATGACTTTAGCTTCATGTTAGCTAGAAAAACAATAGCAAGTGAAACCCAAATAAGCAAATGAGGGGAAAATGATTAGAGAAGAAAATACAATAGAAAACAAAATCAATCAAGAAAATCAGAACTTAAAAGCTAGTCTTTTGAGATGAATAAAACTGATAAACCTTTAGCCAGACTGATGAGAATTCAAAAAAAGGACAAATTACTAATATCAGGAATTAGAGAAGTGGCTTCACTACAGATTCTACAGATACTTATGACAAAATGCTAAACCTAAATGACTACCCTTGTGGATTTTTTCAAATATTTAAAGAATAAAATACCCCAATTCTCAACAAATGTATCCAGGATATAGGAGAGAATGGTTTCCAACTCATTCTTTGAGGCCAGCCTTACCTTAATACTGAAATCACAAGGGAACTACCAACCAATATTCATCACAAACAGATGCAAAAGTTCTAAACAGAATTTTAGCAACTTGAATCTAATGGTGTGTAAAAAGGATAATGCATATGACCTAGTGAGTTTTATCTCAAGAATGCAAATTTGGGTTAGCATCAGAAAACGAATATAGACTATATTAACAGACTTAACAGGAAAAACATAATCATCTTGACAAATGCAAAGAGAGCATTTGACAAAATCCAACTTTTATTTCTGATAAAAACTGCAAAGTAAGGATAAAAGAGAACATCCCTCAACTTTGACAAAGGCATCTTGAGAAAAACCTGCAACTAACCTCACACTTAGTGACAGACTGAATGCTCTTCCCTAAGATCAGAGACAAGGCAAGGATGTCCACTAACCCCTTCTAGTAGATAAATATCGTATTAGAGTTTTTAGGCAAGACAATTAGACAAGAAAAAGAAAAGTGTCTGGATTATGAAGGAAGAAGTAAAGTCTCTCCACAGATGTCATACTCAATTCTATAGAAAATTCTGTGGAATACATAAAATTCTGAAACTAAGAAGTGAGTTTTAATAACGTTACAGTATATAGGTTAATATACAAAAATCAATTTGCCCTCTAGTAGCAAAAGACAAAAACTGAAAATATGACATACTTAGGTATAAATTTGAAAAAAGTTATTCAAGACCTGTACACTGAATTCCACAAAACATTACTGAGAGAAAGTAAAACTTAATAAATGGAGAGACATGCAATGTTAATGGATTAGAAAGTTCAATATTAAATATCAACTCTTCCCATATTGATTTACAGATAGTGAAATCCCAATAATTTTAGCAGAAACTATTTTTTTCTTTAGCTGTGGCTAATTTACTGTTCACCTAATCTGGTAAGTACTTAATATCACCTATTTCATTTTTGCAGCTTAGAATTTCCATTTGGTTCTTTTTTTACAGTTTCTAACTGTTGAAATCTTACAGTTTAATCCCTTAAGTATATTAATCTTAGTTCTTTTGAGGTCTGTGTGATAACTAATATCTGGAAATCTCATGCATTTGTTTCCATTTTATGTTATTTCTCTCAGTTTTTGCCCACATTTTGCCTTCTTGTCTTCTTGAATTTTTTTTTTTTATGGAGTGAGTGACATTGTTTGAAAATACACTTTGGGTCTCTGAATGCTGTTATCTTCTCCTAGAGAAGATTCACTTTCACTATGGCGGGCAGTTAGGTTAGGGGAATGAGCACTTCCTTGTCACCTTAATCCAATTAGGGGTTGAGATAATTCCAAGTTGAGTTAAAGTCCCTGGTTTATTATTTTTAAGGTGCAATCCCTTAGAGCTCCTGCTAAATCCTTGGGGTTTCGTCAGTGACATTTTAACTTGGTGAGTCATGAACTCAAATTTTTGTCTCCAACTCCTCTTCTTTTCAAAGCTCTACTTAATTCACTTCTGTTTGGATATACTAGTTTGCAGGTGAAGTTAACAGAATGCAAGACAAATTAGTACTATAGATAATCACTGTATCTTATCTAAAATATTTCTTGTAGAGAATTATGAATTAAATTATCAACTTCCACATATTAGGTGGCACTCTTAAAGACTACAGAGATACAAAGATAGATACAGTATGTTTAAATTTATGTTATTTGTAGAAAGGTCAAGGCTGTGGCTACAGACTACCGTAGAACCTCTGAAAGGTAAAAGGGGGTGCCTTTTAGTAGGTCAGTGATTGTCAAAAAGTGGCTTGATGAGTCCTGGGAATTTCCAAGATACTTTTGGAGGCAAATGGGGTCAAAAATATTTTCATAATAATGCTAAGACATTGTCTTTTCTACCCTTATTTTCCCATGAGCGTAGAGTGACGTTTTCCAGAGGTTACATGACATGAGATTACATCATTGCCCTGCTGTTAGTGGAATGTGCATTTGTGTATTGTACTTTTTAGAATTTCCTAAAGTAAACTCTTTGGAGTCCTCAATGATTCTTAATATTGTGAAGGAGACCTGAGACTTAAGAAAATTGACAGCTTGCAGTATGCCTTTTTAGCTGTAAAAAGGACCCTTATGAAACTTTAAGGGCATGGTCCCGCATTACTCTGATACACACTTAGTAGCAGTAATTAAGTCAAGTTTAAGGGAGAGAAGTATGCCTAGGAAAGAATTGTGGGTGTGACTTTTGGCTTTTGGCACATAGAGTAGACTAGAATCAAATTTAGACAGTTGAAATTAGCAAAAGCATTGCCATCCATGACTGAAAGAGATGAGACTTTTCAAAGATAATAAAAAATCTCTGGGCTTCCAACTTTCTAATGCAGGAAGCAGGTCAAGAAAGTTGAAAGTTGCTCAGTTCTTACAATGGTGAATCTTCCAAAGCCCTTTTCAGAAGTAATTGAGGAAGAGGATGAAAAAGGAAGGACATATCAAAGAGCAGAGTCAAAAAGAGTATAGAGTAGACTGGGGAGACACTCCTGAGTGAGCAGAACCCAGGCCTGGTCAAGAAACATTCCCCATCTACAGAACATTTTCCCAGTGGGATTTCAGAATTGCTGTGGGTCAGTGACCATTGCGATATCCTGTCCATTGTTTATACTCCTCTGTGTGTCTCTGTGTGTGTGTGTGTGTGTGTGTGTGTGTGTGTGTGTGTGTGTGTGATGGGATAAGGGCAGGTAGCTCATTCTTTTGTTCATTGTTCTCTGAACAAAGAGCAATTGTTCTTTTCAAGATGAGACACATTTGGATCTAATATAGATTCCTGATTCTGTGATTAGATGTGATTTTAGAATCTGTGGTTGGGGTGAGCATGTACTGCATTTAGGAGGAACATGAATAATTGCAGCTCAGAGGGCAGAGTGTGGTATATTGCATGATTGCCCTGAGTCCTTCAGCCTTGCCTGTATTCCTGTATTGCCTATTTGACCTTGTAGTTTTTACTACTGAAAGGCACAGCTTATTTTCCTTCCTGGTGACTTTGGGTTCAACTGTGTGGCTTGCTTTGGTCAATAAAGCAGAATGATGGTATGCTAGTTTCAAGGCAGTTTCAGGTTTTGAGAGGTCTTGAAATTTGCTACCTTATACTTCCTTGAAATACTCTTGTACTATGATGTGAACATTAAAACAGAAACAGAAAAATACACAAGCTGCCTGGGCCAGCTGCCTGTCCCAAGAGGAAGATGAGATGTGAACTGAGCTGTCTC